TAGAATGTTATAATCAGTGTCTACAATAGTCTATACATGGAGTGAATACAAGTTCATTATAATCAACATTTCATTATAATCCCCACTTTTCGAAAATTTCATGTGGGGATTATATCCAATTTCGACTGTAGTTATAACTTACTGTGTTGTTATTAAATTGTAATAATTAAAATATAAATATTACTGACCATAAATACTTTGCAACATATTTTATACCTGTTAAAAAACATAATATAAAGTTACATGTATGTATGTTACTGATAAACCTGTTACTGTGTTTATTTATTTAGATGGCGTAAAGTATAATGTTGTTTACAAAATTAAAACTTCACAAACAGTGTATTTTTAAATGAATTAAAATAATAAAATTGTGAAAAAAGTAATCACATAATTATAATCAAAATGAACAAAATTTGCTGCATTTGTGGCGATAAAGCAAATGGTAATGAATCCATAGACTTAACATACAATTATACAGTTTAATTGACATTAATCATTTATCTTAATGAAGCAAGGCACTTTGGTGCGATTAGTTGTGACTGTTGTAAAGCATTCTTCAGGACATATGCGCCCAAAAATCAGGTTTTATTAATTTTATATAAAAATATACTTAATTTAATTGTATTTTTTTCTGGTTTTTATAGCCATTGGTTTGTCAATCAAACGGTGAATGCGTTATAAACCTATTGACCAGAAAGTGATGTAAAAAGTGTCGGCTCGACAAGTGTTTGGCCGCAGGAATGCGAAAAGTGTGTGATTTTAATAAACAAGTAATTAATTAATTAAAATGTTTATAATTTCTATTCAATAGGAGTTAATCCGGAGTAAAGAGGAAAATGAAAGACTAAAACAAGTTGTTATAAACAATAGACTTAAACAATTGCAATGCAATGAATCCGTGGTTTCTTTGGGTAATGTTTTAATAAATATGTTTATAACTTATTTTTAAAATAAAGTGATAAATGTGTTAATTATTTTATTAATCTAATTGTATGTTAATTTTAATTCAGGTTATTGTAACTCTTCATTGACTACAAACCACTCATTGACTAATACAAAACAAATTGACAATAATTGTTGTCAAGAAATTGATATATTGCTGGAAAACACAATCAATACGAGTGCCGAAGAGCTTAGGGAACAGATCAGAGATATTGAAAACTCTGTGACAAACAATATATTCACTGCAAGTAATGAAGAGTCGCCGGAATTGCCAGTAATTCCCGTATTCCGGGAACTCATCGATTATAAGGGTTTGAATCAATTAGAGTGCAATCGGATGCAGGAATTGATGACAACGTCCAATGTATTCAACTATTAAATAGTGAGAAAATAGTTAAAGAAATATTAGGGTTGGAGAAAATGATTGTAAATTATTCACATTTAAATGAGAAATTTGTGACCGATTTAATCAGTTTTGCACAACATTTGATGACATTCAACAATATCTGTCCCAACGATCGCTTGGCTTTAGTTAAATACGGCGGCAAAGACTTGATGTTAATCCGGAATTTGAAATATTATCATCAGGATCGTGCTTGTTTTATCATGCCACTTGTAATATCATTATGAGTTTTATTTATATCTTGGTCAATAATATAGTGCTCATATTTTTTTTAACTATTAAGAACTTTTAACTTTTAAGATCAGTTCAGATTGATTTGTGTATGTTTGAACAGACACATTATAACTCGTTGAAATATTACTATGGACAATTTCTACTGGTGTGGGATTACAGCGACCCAATTATTATAAACCTGGTAATAAGTTATTAATTTGACATGTTTATTTATATACAGGGTTGGGCATATGTGACTAGAGTTTTAATTAATTTTTTAAAAATACTTAGAGTTGAGATATTTTGTTCAAGTAAAGTTTGTTTTATTTAGAAATAATGGTAGTTTTATTGGAACTAATGGATGAGGTTCTGAAAGTGACCACCCTCGCACACAATCAAATGCCGTAAACTTTTGACAAAAAACCGGTCCGTCGGTCGAAACTTCTAAGTCGAATAACTCGAAGAGTATTTGAGATAAAATTTTTTAAATTTCAAATTCAGACTCAGCGTTAAATTCTACATCGGATTCATATATAATATTAATAAATCGAGTAAATTATAAATTATCAACGGACCGACAGACCGACGGATTTACGGGTAAAAAAGCCCTCCCCTCAAAAACTTACTTGGTGATTGTGGTCAAAGTTAAGGTCACACTTTGCCCATATTTTGCCTTGAATTTGCGCAAGGTTGCCGCAGCCGATCGCGCATTCTCGATGTACAGCTCGATGATAATGATTATCTGTTTGGTGGTGGACACAGTTTTTGTAGTGGCCATTTTAATCAAATCAAAACATGTGCTAAAAAAACTACACACTTTTGTGAGCAAAACAAACTTTACTTCAACAAAATATCTCAACTCTAAGTATTTTTAAAAAATTAATTAAAACTCCAGTCACTTATGCCCAACTCTGTAATTGCTGAAGGGATTATTCTTATGCTAAGTTGACGGCAATAATGCTGTTTAATCCAAATCAACCAAATTTAATACATAAAACTACTGTTAAGTGAGTTTTGCAATTAATTTATATTTTTTAATTGTGTTAAAATTATTAATTGATTTATTTGTTAGACTCGAACAACAACTGTATATATATTTACTGCAAAGATATCTGCTATTGAAATACTGCTCGGAATGGGAATCGCAAACAACACTACAAAAACTGATGATAACTTTAAGTGATGTAAATGTATTAAATGAAATGCAGGGCAAAATGTTTATAACTAAATATAAGTCCTATACTAAATATTTCGGGCCAATGATGAATGAAATATTCTCGTCTTAATAAAACAATATAATAAAATTGGTTTTATAAACAACCATGTTTAGATTCTGTTGCAACTTTACAAAATAATTCTAAATGCATTTATAGCATTAACTTTATTTTAATCATTTTGTATTGTAAAATAACCTGTAATTTAGTGTCATACATGTTGAGTTAAAAATTAATTATTATCTTGCTTTATTGATCATATTTATAACATGCTTAAATTAATATTGGATTATTTGAAAATGTAGAGATCTATGTAATATTATAATTGGTGAAGTTAGAATTACAAAAATAGTATTATAATTTAAGTTACAATTGTGAGTACGTTATAATGTACTGTTAATTGTGATCAACCATTGTGTGTTGTATACATTATGATAAACTATTGTTTTAATAAATGTTATATCATTTATCATGAATATAATTATTGTGTTAGTATTGTGTTATCTTTTTAAAATAATTTACATTCAGGTAATAGTTACTTGGTAAATTTACGCTATAAGCTATAAACTTTTTATATTCTTTATATATTATAATTTATAATTTTATATAAAAATAAAATTAAGGCAGAAAAATAAATTATTAAAATGGATTGAACTTGATCTTTACATGTTTTCTGTGCCATTAGACACATGACCATAAGTGACCGGTTTGTTCACCTGTGTGAACAAAGCATTATTCAAATGTATTATAATTTATACACTATTCATAATTTATTCATATATTAATAAAGTATACTAATATAACAAATGAAATTTTAAACGCATTTTCTAGAAATTAATAAATTTTATTAAACAAATACAGTATAATTAGCATCAAGGCACTTGATGACTGCAGTTTATCATGAAAAATAGTTTATTATTTTGATGGTTCGTAAGCCACGTTCAATATGTTTCAGCCCCTGCCTCCCTCTAACGACTAATCACAATTACCCTGAGGACAAAGTTGGTCTAGATCGATCGGCGACGGCGCGGCCACCGCTGATGGTTCAGCTCGGGCTGAGCGTCGGTCTCGGAAAAAGTGGTGGTTCAACATTGAGCCAATCGGAGTGGCGCTGACGGTGTGATCGCCGCACAACGCGATTGCGATGACCAGCGCTATACCGACCAGACATATGGCGTTGGCTTTCATTTTGTTTACTAGCTGTGGGTTGAAAATGAGTTGAATATTATTAATAATTAAATAGCAATTATATAATGCAATTAAATGAATGCAATTATTGAATGTATGAGAATATCTCACTTTGTTTGTTTGTTAAGACTTTAAGTTAGAATTAGTAGTAAAATATGGTAGATCTTTAGATAAGATTACTTTTGTTGAAAATATGGTTTTATATAATTTAATTAAGTTTAACTTTAATTAAAAACTAATTTACGCATTCAATTATTTTTTAAGTTTTATATTTCTTATTCTCGCCTTAATAAAACAATATAATAAAATTGATCTTATAAACTACCATAGTTAAATTTTGTTACAACTTTACAAAATAATTTCAAGTGCATTAATAGCATTAACTTTAATCATTTTGTATTGTACAAATAACCTGTAATTTAGTGTCATACATGTTGAGTTAAAAATTAATTATTATCTTGCTTTATTGATCATATTTATAACATGCTTAAATACTCTCTCTCTCGCTATTCTATGGGAGTTAATATTTTAAATTTGTTATTTCACAAGTAATCAGTTTAATTAATAACTTATGTGAATTGTTATTTCTAATTAAACTAAAATTTATGTTATTTCAATACAAACAACATTGTGAAAGTATGAACTTACACAAAGTGTTGTGTGGTTAGTGTTGTCAACTCGAAAATTATAAACAAGTGGACATTTAGGCTAACAAGTGAGTACTAGAAAAACAGAATTAAATTTTTTTAATTTCTGTATTAAACTTATTGACAATTTACCAATTTTACAAAATTAATTATACAAAACTTTGTAAACAACTTAATTATAGTTTGAAATGAATAATGCATAGTATTTTATCGCTTTATGCTTAATAAAAATTATTATTATCCAGTCAGTCAATATATATCCGCCAATCGGAAATGCAAATATCTCCTAAACCAAATGAGCTGGATCAAATCTGTAAATTGTAAAATGATGTTCCATATATCTAGTTTTCTACCAGAAAAATTACTGAAGTCACGTGACTAGAACATATAAATTTTGGGGTCATTTCGATTTGTCATGGTTTTAGCCCAGTTGAAAAGGGAGTCGGAGGGGAGCGGGTATGCTATTCGGTAGAGGAAATGTCTAAGTATATGATAGCAAAATTTGATTAAGATTAGTCCAGTCATCTAAGAGAAATTGATGATTTCATTAACATTAGGTCTATGGGAAAATATTGGTTTGGAGTTGTATTTTTTAACTAAAACTATTTCTTTACTAAAATGTAGTATTACTTTTGGGTAATATTTGCCAAATATTATGTCAAATTTTTTGAATAAATTGTTTGTTACGAAAGACTATTCATCCTATGTTTATGAAACTTTGCTATCATATACTTTGACATTTCCTCTGCCGAATAGCATACCCGCCCCCTCCGACCCCCCTTTCAACTGAGCTAAAAGCATGGCAAATCGAAATGACCTCAAAATTTATATGTTCTAGTCACGTGACTTCAGTAATTTTTTCTGGTAAAAAATTAGATATATGGAACATCATTTTACAATTTACAGATTTTATCCAGCTCATTTGGTTTAGGAGATATTCGCATTTCCGATTGGCGGATATATATTGACGGACTGGATATTATCTATTATAATGTTATTAATAAAATACGTATATTTTTATATTAAAATGTTTAAAATTTATATAACTAAATAAATGTCATTGTTTTATTTACTAATATTCAGTTTACTATTTTTATCCATTTATATGGCGTGATGTATAATGTTGTTTACAAAATTATAATTTTATAAACAGTGTATTTTTATTTGAATCAAAATAAATAAAATTGTGACAAAAGTAATTACATAATTATAATCGAAATGAACAAAATCTGCTGCATTTGTGGCAATAAAGCAAATGGTAATAAATCCATAGACTTAACATACAATTATACAATTTAATTAACATTAATTATTTATCTTAAAAATAAGCAGCAAGGCACTTTGATGCAATTAGTTGTGACTGCTGTAAAGCATTTTTTAGAACATTTGCGCCCAAAAATCAGGATTTATTAATTTTATATAAAATATGTTTAATTTTATTGTATTTTCCGGTTTTTATAGCAATTGGATTGTTAGTCAAACGGTGAATGCGTTATAAACCTATTGACCAGAAAGTGGTGCAAAAAGTGTCGGCTCGACAAGTGTTTGGCCGCAGGAATGCGAAAAGTGTGTGATTTTAATAAACAAATAATTAATTAATTAATTAAAATATATATAATTTCTATTAAAAAGGAGTTAATTCGGAGTAAAGAGTAAAATGAATAACTAAAACAAGTTGTTATAAACAATAGACTAAAACAACTGAAATGCAATGAATCCGTGGTTTCTTTGGGTAATGTTTTAATAAATATTTTATAATTTATATTTAATATAAAGTGATAAATATGTTAATTATTTAATTAATCTAATTGTATGTTAATTTTTATTCAGGTTATTGTAACTCCGCGTTGACTACAAGTCACTCGTCGACTGATTCAAAACCAATTGACAATAATTTTTGTCAAGAAATTGATATATTGTTAGAAAACCCAATCAATACGAGTGCCGAAGAGCTTACGGAACAGATCAGAGATATTGAAAACTATGTGACAAACAATATATTCACTGCAAGTAATGAAGAGTCACCGGAATTGCCAGTAATTTCCGTATTCAGGGA